GGAGGGTGAAAATGTGGTTCCAATCACTCACAAAGATGCTTTTGTTCTGTAGCTGGGGCCCTCTCTCTCCCTCTCTCTCTCTCTCTCTCTCTCTCTCCCTGTCTCTCGCTCGCTCTCCCAGTCACACCAGACTGTTCAAAACCACCGAAACAATCAACGTCAAAAGTTTAGAATAATACTCATAGACGGTCTCAGTAGATACTCTCTGTGTGTGTGTGGCTCCAGTTTCACTTTTCTGTGAACACCTACACACACACACACACACACACATACACACACTCACTGTACGCACATACACTCTCTCTCTGCCTCTGTCTGGACTCTCTCTCTCTCAATCCCCACATTTCCTCTGTCTGCCCCTCCCACCCTGCCTGTCTGCTGATCTGATGCGGGGTATAGGAGTCTACATGTGGCATCTCATGCAGTCTGGTCAGAAGTCCTGGAGCAGCGGAGCAGCTCTCAACTCAGTCCTCCAGCGCTGGTGGGCTTGAGAAGGCAACCTGCTCTTTCTCTGCTGGATCTCAGCGGACTGGAAAGCCTCTAAAGCCTCAGAGGCCTAAGCCAAACAAAGAACAGGTCTACGTGCTGTTAGAAAGGTAGAACTGCTTTCACTATAGTGAAGCATGACATGATTGCCTTTGTAAGGACAAGTTGCCCTTGGTACAGTATGTAGCAGAACTTTCCTTTATGCATCAGTACTTCAGTTTAGCCTTTCAGCTACAGTTGTGAATCAGTTGCTGTAAGAAACCTGAACCAGGCAGGGGAATGAAAGGAAGTGCTTTATTGTGATACAGCATGGTGGTACTTGGTGGTGCAATATTTGCAACTGCTTTAGTGTGGGTTTTTTAAATATATTACTAGCCCTTTCTTTTTCATATTCACTGTGAACAATGGTTGAACTAGGCTATGGACTAGGCTTAATAGCTTTCTTGCAGAGAGTTACATGAAAAGATCAATACAGCCATTTACTTAGCATGAGACTTGAAACAGGGGAAACAGCTACCCTGGGTATATCAAAAGGTTACAAAATATGACTACCAGCACTGCTGCCAGTAACTCTCTGGAGTTGCAGCCAAGTGGCAAGCTTCAGAGCTAAAATACAAAGCCATCACAGAGGTGCCAAAAACTGCAGTTCCTTGAATGGCCACTTGAGGGTGGCTCCAAAAGTGAGTCAATCCCCATAGACCCCCATGTTAAAATGCCCAACTTTATAGCAGAAATAAACATGTTTACAGCCTGGAACAAAAAACAGTTTTGGTCTCTATAGCTGATTTTTCTGTTCATGACAACTGTACCAGGGGATGAACTTTTGTACTTCTCACATATTATTAATTTTTAGAGTTATGCATAATAAAGGGCGGGGCCACTTGTGTGGCAGGCTGTCTGCAGGGTGTCAACACAGTCTATGAGTCAGATCCATCCTTCACTCCTGCACAGCTCCACCCTCTCGTCCAAATACGGTCACCTCTGGCTTGAAAAATTTAAGATAGCGGCAGCCAAAATGCCAAACAGGAGTCAAAAAAACAATGGGTGACATCACAGTAACTTCATCCTTTATTTCTATGCAGTCTATGGTCATGCAGTTGGTTGCCCAGCAACTGGTACCGGCCAAGAAATAGTCTGGTACATAACCTCACATAAAACATTGAATTCTAATATTTACACTTGATTTTTTTGTATGAATTAAACAAATGAGATGTTATTACAGTTCAGGATCAGGGACAAAATATAACCTGCTGTTGCGGTTATCTCTGTCCCTCTGCACACAATAAAATACTCATGTGAATGTGCCTGTGTGTGCATCAACAGCTGCTCCTGTTTCATTATTGGAAGCTGATTTGATAGCGCTGTGGGAGGTGAGGAATGTGGAAGGACACTGCCATATTCATCTGCTTGATGCACTAGACCCTGGACAGTCCAAAGAGCCCCTGTTCACCTCTACAGGAAGCTGCCAATTACTGTGGAACCAGAACAAAGGCAACCAGCAAATCTGCTCTGACAAATGTGTTTAAAAATGATCATAACAGTTAAATAAGTTTTGATTAAATTAACATTGAGTACCTCTGATTCATTAGCATTTTAATAATTATATAACTACCAAGTAAGCAGTAGAAATTAAAGCTATCGGACTGTACTGCAGAGAGCCTTGTGGGTGCGGTGAACTGGTGAACTGGTGTGTGAGTCATGAACGGAAGTAAGAGGATAGAGAGCATAAGCTTTTCAGAAAGCCAATGACAAGAAAATTTCTTCACTCTCATTGTTCAGTGTGGGAATAGGTGGGGGGACTGAATCTTGTACAAACACACAAGACTTTAATGTAGTCACAATGTAATGTCAACAGTCTTCAGGGGCTTTTGAAGATCGTATTAGGTTTATTTATGTGGGACGTCTGTTTTTATTACACCATAATTGTACGGTATCATTTTTGGCTGATGTGATGATATCAGATAAAAGAGGAAAATTTCCTCATTAACACATCGTGATCCTGTGAATTAGTCGAAATGAGGATGAATTTTAATTTGATGCAATTTGGGAGTGCTCTTGTCCCATCCTGTTAATAAAAATCCCCTGCAGTAGATGACAAATTGGTAAGTATGCATGTAAAGCAGCAGGGAAGGCAGCTATTTGAAATGTGCTGATATGAATTAGCTTAAAGAGACTTTGAAATGCTGCTGTTGATTAACATAACATCTATCAGTGGTAGTTTTTGTTAAAATCCTCCAGTGGTGACATTTATACTGGAATAGCCTCTCTAAATGATCTGACTTTATACATCTATAAGAATCATGTGTGTCTACTCAGCTAAGCAGTACCCAGCTGTCTGAAGTTACATACAGTACGTCTGAATTTCTTTCACAAGCCAAAAAACAAACAGACAAAAAACAATCCGACATCTCTCTAACAATACCACTGCCCACACAAACTCTGACCCTCGTGCCCAGACAGACACTGAGCCCCCACAGCGCATAAGAATCCTACAAATAGTTCAGTGTCAAAGCCCGACTGTCTCAGATGAATGATTGTACACAAAATTGAACGGGAGGTTAGCCAGTTGTTAGTAAAAATGAAACCTGTCTCAGAAAAAGCCTCAGAAGATTTGCTGCTGTGAATTACCTCACGCCCCTGCCACGCCTCCAACATCAATCACGGAAAACACTCTCATCAGCCACAACCTCCAGGTGTCAACACGGAATGAGCAGACGAGGCCCGTGTGTCATGTGCTGCTTTTCTCTGTGTCATGTGTGACTCAAGAAACACAGTCACTTCTTATATTTCAGTCATTTGTTTTATTCCACCTTCCTTATTGTTGTGATATTAACTATCAGGGCACTCGGAGAGCACAGATCTCTGCCAAGGCCAAATGCTCCATTTGGCAATGTTAACAAAAGTGAAAAATAATTTGTATATCCCCCCCTATGATTCAGATCTGCTCCAAAATTTAATGGCTTCTTCCTTGGCATATGCTACACCCTCTTAAAAAGATTCATGAAAATTGGACTTGTAATCCTGCTGAAACAAAAACAAGCTGTACTGAAAACATGACCTCCTTTGCTAATAAGCTAATGAGCTAATGTTGCTGTGGTTTTATCTGTCAGAAAGTTATTGCAAAAAGTAAGAAAAAAAAACAGTTTTGCCTACATTTGTAGACATAATAGACTCAATAGGATTATTATTATTGGTCATTAACTAATTTATCTAGCTGCTAAATAAAACACACTACATGACAGAGAGTGTTTTTAATATTTGATATGTCATGTAGCCCAATACTTTTATTTATTTAAAAAAAAATATTGCTGGGTAACCAGAAGTATTTAAAAGTCTTAAAACACAAATATGATACCCAAACCTACTGGCCTTATTTTTCAAGATAAGCACTTCTTTTCAGCAACTGTCATTACTTTGAAAAGAGGTAAAATCAGTTGCTGATATGACTGAGAAAATCACGTAGTATACACTGTATTGACATGTCATACAATGTGGATATCACCAAAGAGTATTCTAAGTATCGTTCTCGTCTCACTTAATGAGACTTTATTTGGACTACAGAGTGCAAAATTGCAACATTTGTTAATTCACTTAATCAAAGTCTCACTCATCTAGGCAACATGGAGATGGTTATAGTATGAGTAAGAATTAATTTGTCAGTGAGTGATGCAGGGTGGGTCCACTTGCACTACTTTCGACATGAAAGTCAGGCCCACTATTTTTGAAACTTGCAAAAAATAACCATCTGATCTCAGTGGCAACTATGGAATAAGGTGGGGATGTGCTTTACAAGGTTTTTTTTCTGTAATTGCATCTGAGCTCACAATTACTATCAAGAGGATGAATCATGAGTCGTGACCTAGTTTAGTCTTGTACTGGGACATCTTAAAAAGTCTCGTGCACATCAGAGTGAATGTTCCCACAGTGAGTCACAGCAGCATGTCAACTGAAAACAGTGACCCCGCTGCACCTGAAGAACAAAGGTTTGGTTGACTCATGTCAGGGTACAATATGGTGTACGTGGTGTGTTATCAAAAAAGAAAGTACAATGGTTAAAATAATTAAGAATTTTGCTACATAACTATTCACTAAAATTACAAGTGGTGCTTCAACAGTTTGTATTTATGTTTTAAGAGTTCTCCAAACTCTCCAAAGAATATTAAGCAAGCATATGATATATAATGATGCTATAACTGCTTCAAATGTCACTAATCCAGCTAAAATACTGACCACAACTGAGCACCACAGATATGCCGCATTTAAGTGATTTCAAGTGAGTTTACTTTTCACATAAAAAGTTAAATTCACGAAGTGTTGCTATATTATTAATGACAAAACATATGGTTCCTGGGCTCATAATTCCTGATGAAAGCTACCCTGTGTTAGTGCTGTGCCTGGTTCGGGTTAAGGGGGTAATTATATGACAGTATAGTTCAGCCCAACTAGTTTGTAGCCTGGAGGAAGCACAATCACTGCTGACTGTAGTTTCCTGTCCAATAGCTGCAGCACAGAAGTCTGAGGCAAGTATAGTGGGAGTACAGAGAGAGGAGAGACCGAGTGCACAGGACGGGTACTGCTTATATTCACAGTTTGGACAAGTTTGGGACGGTGCTGGACTTTTGCGGAAACGCAACAGAAAGTGGAGAAACTTGTGCAGAGCAGACAAAGAGTATTGAGCGAGCTGCCTGCAGAGACACACACAAACTTCCCAACATCTGGTCCACTGGAGGACGGGGCGAGCCGGAGAGAGAGAAATTTTGGAGGCGGAGAGTAAAGTATCTTCGCTGGAGAAAAATGCATTGAATTTGGGAAGTTTGGTGGGCACCTACATGAGCCGAAAAGAGATTCGGTGGTCGTGTAAAGTGACAAGAGTGGAGGGAAAGAGGACGGGAAAGGTCTCTGAGGGCGAGAAGTCCACCTGGAGCGGTCAGAGAATGAATTAGCCCAAGTGTTTGGCTGCAGCGCGTCCCAGCCAGAGAGAAGGTAAGGAGTTGTTTTGCTGGTGGCTGGTGCTGTTGTTGCAGATCAAGGCGAGATATTCTGCAGGAATATGAATGTAGACAGAGAAAGGATCGCCACACTGGAGCTGAGCTCGCTCTGAGCATGCAGGGACTCGTTTGGGGAAAGCAGGGCGCAGACATGCAATAAAGGTAAACAGAATACGCCCGTTATTAGCTGCCAGTGACATTTAGGTCAATTACACTTTCAATTTTAGCCCAAATTTCTCCTTAAAGATATACCTCACTATTTATAAAACCTGTGTACACGTAGGCTACATATCTAAGCAAGAAGTTTGGCACTGTTTTTAAGTGTGCGGTGAAATGGCTTTTTCTCTTTTCCAGAAACTTCTTTAAACTTTTTACAGCGTTAAAGTATAAAACTAAGCCCACTGTAGATATATAAAGGTGGAGACATTTGTATGTAATTGGTAAACTTAGTTTCATCAAGCGCTTTGGCAAAAGCTTAGCTATTGGTTGTCAAAAGTTTTGGGGGCAGTGAGTGCGGAGCAAAGGCACGGGAGCGCGCAAACAGCTGTCCAGCTGAGCTGCTTTGGCAGGGAGGGCGCGCGCCAAACACACGTTGGCACGTGATACATTTACTCAATGTGTCCCGTGTTAATGATGAGTTAAAGAAGGTGCCAAGTGTTCGAGACTCGAGTCGAGACAGGTAAAACACTCCTGCGACCTGGTGACAGGTTACGCAAATGTGAAGGTAAGATTGGACTCATTAAAAGTCGTCTCATTTAGGCTACATGTCGCTTAGCAACCATTTAGGAAGACTGTAGTCTTGAGCCAAAAAAATGAAAGACTTTATGTAGGCTACTTCAGGTTCTTTACTTGTTATCATCGCAGTTTGACTACTTGGGCAGGGTGAAGTCAGGTAATATGGGACATTAGGTAATATGGGACAAATAAGGTTTCACATCTTGGGCTCTTTAAATATTAGCAACCACTTACCCAACGTGTTATTGCATTATGTTCTTTACGTGATATAATGATTTAGATTGGACTGAGATGACTAGTATGGGCAGAGAGAAGAGTCAAAAAGCACTGATCCCAGAACTGGCAAGGTAAATCAGGTGGCATGTTGATTTTCTTTCTTTGGTAATAAGAGTACTGCAGCTAAAACAATACCAGTATGACAACAAACATAGTTGCATTTTATTAACTATTTGACTTATAATCAAAATATTTTCACAATACACTTTACTTTTTATGGTAAAGGATTTTGAGTGAGTACTTGGTGCATTCAGGTAAAATGGGACAAAAGTTTAAGCTACAGACAATTTTCTACAGTAAGACCAGCATGTTTTTGGTGCTATATAGGCCTAGTCATTATTTATACTATTGTGTGCTACCCTGTCATATTACATACACTTTTAGCATTCTTGTCAATCATAAAATATTTAAGATGTTGCAATGAGTCCTTGTCAGCCAGAAAAGTCCAGAATTAGTCATCGTTACAAGCACAAAAGCACACACGTATGTCCATTGTAGACAATGTGTCAGTAAGGAAACAGGCAACAAAAGAAGGGGGAAAGCACGGCAGAAAAGTTGGACAATTGTTTTTAATGAATAGCCACATGTTACATTAGTTATTTCATCACTTAATGACTGTATTGATAAATGGATTGAACCATTTCAGAAACAAACATGAATGTCCCATTTTACCTGAACATATGATTGAACTAAGGTAGGGGTTCTTGGTGTGTTTGAAGGTCCAAAGTTTCTAAACTATTTTACTTAGCAGATATACATAACACGGACTAAGAGTAACACTTAGATAGTCTTAAGAATTTTAGATGATTTTAAAAGTAATCTACCCAAAACTGTCTCAAATTACCTGACTTCACCCATGTTTAATGATACCTGTGAATATATCATGAAATAATTTCAATTACAAAAAAGATTGTTGTTGCACAACCTTCTACTGTTCTTGCTTTGAAAGCTTTAAAAAGGATCAGTTTTACTCTTGAATTGGTTTAATTATTAAAATCCAGCATTTCAGTTTTCAGTCAGCATGACACACACTATTTGCATGATTATATCGACTTTGAAATCTTTTCTGGGATTATAAAATTAAGTTCTGTTAATATGAACAATATTAGGCCGCCCATTTTATCTGCTCTAGTTTCATTGTTTATTATTTTGTGTGCATTCATTTTTAATTATTACCTTTAGTTTGACTTTTGTTTCCATGCTTTTCTTGTTAGTGTTGTTTCATCTCATGTTTCAGTGTTGAAACAAGTCCTCTGTCATTTAAACTGGTTGTATATAAATAATTCCACCGTCATTGTTATTATTTGCACAACAGAAGTATAAAGAGTTTAAACACTATTTATGAAAGGTAAGCTATGATTAGGCACATCCGTTGTGTTGCCACTGTTTCATGAAAGCAGCACTCCAGCCTCCTCCTTTAGTGATTTTTATAGCTGTAAGGGATTCATGCTGGTTCAAGTTTTGCCTGATTACACCTCTCTAGCTAAAGTACGGCCCGCTGGCTTGTTGCTCTGTTTAAAAAGACAATGAGAAATGTTTCATGTGACCTATGCAATCACCTCTGAAATAATATCACCTCTCTCTGCTTCAGGCTCACTCCTTGGCCCCTCCACCTCCTCCCATAAGAGCCAGGCCTACGCCCATGGATGAGGAGAGGAGTGCCCCTGCCATCTCCCCAGAGCCACCAGATGATGGGGACCCCAGTTTACCAGCTCCACAACCCAGTTCGCACACAACCTCGACTGCAGATACAGCAAACAGCTGCCCGAACCCAAAGCCCTGTCCTAGTCCAGGTAAGGAAGAGGCTGCTGTAGAGAAGCAGACAGACTGACATGAACAGCTCTTATAATGCTGGCGTGAAGCTGTTAGTGTTTCAGTTGCCTACGTGTTGAGAAAGAGGCAGACCCAGCACAGAACAGTTATGTGATAGGTCTGAACAAGCCTAAAACAAGCTAATGTTTTTAACTACTACCACAAAGCTGCATTAAACCTCCTTTGTCGCGTTCTGGTGTGTGTCTATGTAGAAGCGTGGCTGCCTCAAATAAAGGGAGACAGAAAGTAGTTATAAAGACATTAAGTCTTTATTATGAAAAAGAGGAGCTAGTGGATTTTTGCTGAGAAAGAAAACCTCTCTGTGCTCTTACATGCATGCAAACCTCATTATGGTGGAAGGTTGGCCAGTATGTGAGTAAATATATAGCTGTATGCAACACTTTTCCCTTTCTTTACAAGCTATAGGAGACCTTCTTACCCTGAAAACAAGAATAGACCAATTTATTCACCTTTGTGAAAGTGCGTGTAAAGGTTGATGTTAGTTTTCCAGAGTGGAATAGTCTTGAGTCACTGTTATGTTTGTAATACTGTAGACCTGGTAATTAGTAATCGCTAATAGTAGACTCAGAAGCTGAGTTCTAGGGACTCATGCCGAATTCCCCAAAAATCATTGTGTATTTTTGGCGGATGTCATGGTGATTCATTGGGTCAGAGGCCTTCTCACTGACAGATAAAAACAGTTACGTACTGAGGTGATTGGTCTGTGTGGGGGACGTGCTGCCTTGGATGATCTGAGGGGTCAGGACCAATTCAGTGCTGTGGAACGCTTAAGGGCCGCAATGGGACTCCTGGGGATTGGGGAATAAACCCATGACCCTTCCCCTTTGTGCAATTGGTCATGGTGCGGGTTGACTGACACTGGGGCGGGAACGAGGCAACGTGGACCAACTCAGCGCAGTGTTGTGCCTGAATGACTCATCCAGCATCAGCCGAAGTGATTCAAGTTCCCTCAAGCTTCAGCGAGAAGGCAACAGCACAGGCTGCAGATCAGAGTGCAGATCCTATGGGGTAATTGGGGTAGGTGTGGTAAACAGTTACGGAAGTGTGCAGAGATCTAAGTGGCTTGTTGCCATGGGAACCTGCCACAAAAACCTTCAATGGTTGATGGAAGTTTTTTTTTTGCTTTGTTTTTTAAAGACAAGCCCAACCCGATCTATTATGATTACTGCACTGAATGTGCAAAAGCATAGAACCTACACACGCACATCTCTGTTCTCCGCTACATTGTGGTTCACCATGATGAATGTAAGTACAGCATCAGATTTAATGATAATACCTCTGCGAAGACTTTTAGAGTTATTAAACTCTAAGTTTGTGCCTGAACATGTTCTCGTGGCTGTGCTGGCTTTACCTGTGCATGCTCCTCAGCAAGCCAACACAAAGTATAACTGTGGCTTCTCCCACTAAAGTTAGACTGCTTGTCTGGCTGACTGGTCTAATTTGTGTGTGTCTGTGTGTCTTTGTGTGTGTGTGTGTGTGTGTGTGTGTGTCTGTGTCTGTGTGTGTCTGTGTGTAGGCTGAGGGTAGGTAGGTGAGCCAGGGTGGGGAGGAGAAGATTGGTCAGGCTACCACTGAGGGCAACAAGGCCCTGCTTTCAGCGCTCTACTTCACCCCCCACCCATCCCTCTGCCTGCAGAGTGCAGGGCTTTGGAAGAACACAACAGGCACATACAGTGTGTAGATCTAACTGAGGAATCACATTTGAATCACATTATTGCCCAGGGGTGCATCATTAGAAAGGGAGGACAGGTTCCAAGTAGGGATGCACCCATCTGATACTGATATACGGATATCGGACTGATACCGACTCAAACAGCTGGATCAGGTTATCGGTGATAATGGGGCTGATCTGTTAAGTTCAGTTCTATGTTTACATCTAATTAGACATGCACAATTTACAGGACTTGAAATTAACACTTGCCAGGGGCAAATAAACTCTGTGTTCAGGCAAGTGGATTGTGTCATGCAGTTGTCTGATGTGATGTCTAATATAACGTTATCTGAAGTTACTATACACTTTAGAAGTTAACTCCACGGTTGACGGTGTCATGTGCGACATAACGTTAGTAATACTGAGTATCTCTGGAACACTGCATGTGAGAAACTTACTTTTTTGCCCAGAGATTTAGCGCTGTGCCGTTTCAATGAGGGTTCTGGTGCGATTGTATCCTTTTCAGAAGCTTTGTAGAAGCTTGCGGTGTTCTTCAACTTCTTAAAACTGGCCAAGTGCCAGGCAAAACAGGCAATAAAACAAAAACTGACAATGTTTAAGATAGAGCAAAAGCTTAATGTTAAGCCCTAGTGTACTACGTTGTGCGTCAGCAGTGCACCAGTAAGATGGGATTTTGTTCTTATATTCTTGTATTGTATTTTTGTCATGCAGAAATTTTCCTATTTATGTTGTCACCAATGTGTTGACAATTGATTTGTAATTCCTATGAGTTCTGAATATTTTTACCAAGCTGCTGGTGCACAATGTATTGTTTTAATGATTCAATTCAATAAATTCATATTTAGGTATTAAGTTGTTACATTGTGTTTTACAAAGTTGAGAATGCAATGTTTAAGTCAAGCCTGATTTTGCCTTACATATAAAATGTGTACACACTGAGGCATACAGCTTATTAATTAAACACTGGTAACAGATTGGAACTCTGTATTGGCCACCACCTAAAGCCCAGGTATCAGTATTGGGACTGAAAAAGTTCGATCGATGTATCTCTAGTTCCAAAATAGTGCTCTATATTTCCAACCAAAGTTGCTTAGCCAGTGCATATGCCAGAAAAGTTTTTTTTTCTTCCTTTTGTACAGCCCATGACAACTTCATCAATTCAAACTGAAATTAAGTTGGTTACTTGCTGGGGGGGGGGGTTCTTTTGTTTTGCCCTAAACAATCAGTAGCGAATAGGGTTGGGCGATATATTGATTGTACTCAATATATGATGGCTTATTCCACATGGGATGTATAAAGTGACTATGTCGCAAAGATCAAATACAAATTGTCATGTCATCGTTTTAAGCCACAGGCATGAGACTCACTTTGGTGTTTTGGTTCTCACAAACATGATACATCACACACAGTCCCCAGCCCATCCAGACTTTTCTCTCAGGAGATAGTGTGTGAGCAGGCGAGACGTGTGTTTTTGTATCAGCATGCAGGGCTCCAGACTGTGACCACTGTTTTTGCATTTTGCGACCATGGAGCACCAGTGATATTACTAATATATGAGCTGGAGAGCTGTCAGTTTGTTTTCTGCTCACAGTGACAACATTCTCACACTAAACTGAGCCGCTGTAATGCTTTAACTTTCCACTAACTGCTAACAGCTACATGTAACTGTAGACCATAAGCTTCAAGTTCACAGCAAAAACATCAACACTTCCAACCTGAAATGAGCCAGGTGCTTTAAAATAAAAGCACCAGAGGTTCCAATTTGATTTTTCTTAATTGTATCAATACTTCTTACAATAGTAATTTTTTTAACTTCGTAGTTACAGTGGTTTATTTAGTAGTTTAGTGTTTTGGTAGTCTCCAGTAGTTTAGAAATTTCAAAATTTTGAGATATATATTGTGTATTACAATATAGCTTAAAACTACTGCAATTTTACGTATTGGCTATATCGCCCAGCCCTAGTAGCGAGTGACGCATCTGTCCAACCAAGGTTTTTCATTGACACAGAAGCAGTAGCAGTTACTGGGACCTAGGGTTGGTTTGTTTCCTATATGACTGGTACCTATCAGACCGAATCATAATGCAGATTTCGATCAGATTTTGTGAATAGCAAGAGAACATGATCAAGAGCAAGGATGAGAGCAAGCGAGCAGTACAGTGATACTGCAGGGGAGCAGAGAGTATGAAGTTAAACGTAGCAGCGTAATGTATATTGTCCGTGAATAATGCTACAACTCCTCAAAACCTGAGCCAAGTTCTTGTGTCTAGCTTACCATCTGCTGAGTAAAGTGAAGCAGGTTAGCCACAAATCAGCGAGCGAAGTTATTCTCCCATTGGAACCTCACCTGGCTCACTTAAGGTGGACTGTTAAGGTGGACCAGCTATTGTCATCGAGTTAGCAGTTAGAGTTAGCAAGACAATTAGTGATCCCTACTCAAAATTTATTTTGCTGTTATTAGTACTGTAACTATACTCTTAAATTATTGTAGTTGGGTTGGGTTTTATTTATTAGGTAAATTTGTTGATAGTGCTTTGTATTTATCCATATTTATGTATACTTTAAACTGAGTTAGGCCTACTATATTGTTTAATTTCAAGTTTAAATTTGCCTTTGCAATAAGAAAACTGTTCTTTAATGTTACTGACCATCATTTTTGCTTTTTCTTTAATTTAAAATATTCAGGCCCAGTTTAGGCAAAGGTACCATTTTAAAAGTATTCTGTTAGAACAGGTATCAGAAAAAAAAGACACCCAACCTCACTGGGAACAGATAACGTTTTTCACAGTTTAAAAAAAACTTGTCAATCTAAGAGTTCTTAATCATGTAAGTTGACTTACAACAACTTTGATAGTCATGTAAATGTGATCCACACCTGTTGCCATTTTCCTGTATTTTTTATTTGGTTAGCTAGCCTTATAGGAAGATGACATGCCCATTTTTAATCTCGCCTACTATAGTCTTTTTGGTTAACTTTCTCCAATCTGCTGAATCATCCCTGTGTGAACTAAATCTGGGATGCAGGTGGTGTTAGTTCCCAACAGCTTGCACAAGACCACACTGAAATGACGTCATGCTCAAGAAGCTTTTCAGGGCTTTGAGAAGGTTTTAAAGATATTATGCTGTGCCTGTCACAAAGGGAATGGACAAAATACTGTGAACACCTGCACAGTCATATCCAATTGAATGCCACAAATAATGTCTTTGTGAATATTTCTTTAGAGTCAGGGGTGTTGATTCATTTTTGTAGTTAGCTTTTGAAACCGTAGTTTAATTGTAACCATGACCC